CCCCCACGCACCTGATCCGAAGGCATCCAACATCCAGGAATTCATCTGCTGGTGCTGTGAAGATCACTGACCCACATTTATCAATTCACTTGGCACGAATGACATAATCAGGATGCCTAAAGAAACACTACCCTTGGTGTCAAGACGGGTTAGAGGCAAAGGAAGCCTCCACGCACCATCCTTAAATAGTTCATGTGGACGTGTTCTAGACGACGGCAAGAGTGGGACATGCCCACTCATGGGTCGGCCACAGCCCTCCAGATATACCCTGGGCTGTCTTCACGCGCTCTTTGTCCCACTAATAAGAAGAAATTCTAGAACTTTTGGCATTTATGAAAATCATTTCAATCTAAAATGGGGACCCAGACCCCGTTCTATCTATGGCACCGTGTTCCCAGAAGAAGAAAGGTACTATGTGTGAAACTACTCTTGGAGCAGAGAGAACGCTGGAGAAGCTTGGAACATCGCTCTTGAACAAGGAGTTGAGAAAAGGAACGTGCCCCACACAGCAGCGTAGTTCAACAAGTTTCTTCTTGGCAGGTGTCTTTCTCCTCCACTCCCTGATAAAGCTCACTGTTGTAGATCTCACGAGAGAAAACAACTCCATCTTAGGGTCAAATACAGACAGAAGACACTGAGTTTCCATCTCCTGGCTCCCGAGTGAGGTCTCGAAGACCCTAAAGGACACACACCCTTCTCAACTGAAGGGCAAGCACCCAGTTGGCTACAAATCCTTGCTCCGTGGTTGGGGCCATTGTGTCTGCTCCAGGCAGGTGTATGTGTTCACACTGGCCATGCTCAGTCAGTGCAGCAGGGGCGAGGGAGAGGAGGGTTTGCTCATGAGCCCGCCCTGGGCTCACCTCCAGCTTGCTCACGTGACCTCCAGTGACTCTGTCATGCCGCCAGGCCACACAAAGAATAAAGGCAGCCAGACTCAACTTCATGGCAGCTCACTGGCTCCCATATCAGCTCTTTTAAGAAGATGAACAGGAAGAGTGAACCACAAGATAGTTGAGATTTGCCCAACCCATCGAAATACCCTCTGAGCCATCCCTGCCGCGTGTCCCTCCTCTGTGCCCCAACCCGTCCAGGGCGGTTCTAGGTGTTTCAGATGGAGCTTCAGATGGCCCAATATTAAAAACAAAACAAGCTCACTGTTAATTCTGAAAGCAGCGTGTTGCCGCAAAATCAGCTATGTGATGGGAAGGCAGCAGAACTCTGAAGCTTTTGAAGACCTTATCCCAGACTCGATGGTGGCTTGAAAAGGGCGGCCTGCGGGAAGTGAGCACGGCGGAAACAGCGCCTCACGGGGAGCCTGACAGAGCGCAGGCTGTCCTCACCACCGGGCGCAGGCTCCAAACAGCTTGTCCCCTCAGTCGTCAGAGTGCCGAGCTCTGAGTGCCGAACGAAAATGCCAGATTGCATTTTTATTTCACCAAGACTCCCACGTTTGTGAACTGTTTTCTTAATTTTCCGGCTCAAAAATCCAGCTGGTGCTTGTTCACTGGGCTGGTCGCTCGCAGGGCAGGGCAGGGCCTTCCCCTTGGAGGTGAAGGGCGCCCAGCAGCCCCCAAGCCTGCGCCTGTCTAGCTGGGTGACATGTGGTGCCTTCACAGCCCTCTGAGGCCAGAGATTGGCAGCTGCGGCTCTTGCTCCCTGTACCCCTCCCGTCCCTTCACCAGTGACCCTGCTCTTTGACAAATTTCTCTTGACAGTCGGGGGGGTCCCCGTTGCCGATATCAACAGTGCCTGAAGTTGACTGTGGTGAACATATTTCTAATGGGGCAGGGCCCCTGGGAGGCCCTCTGGAGCCCTCTAGAAGCAGCCAGAAGCTCTGCTTTTTTATTCCAGAATTCTGTGTAGGCTGCAACAGTAGGCCCGGTGTGTCCTTCAGAAAAGGTGCCTGCTTCTGAGCAACACATCACAGCCTCCAGCTTGATGTGTTCATGAGGCACCCTGCTGTGGAACTGGGCTTCTCAAACTTCATTGGGAGGTAGTGTAACCAGGTCCAAGCTCTTTCTGCTCGCTGCACAAAGGCCAGTAAGTCAAGAGGCACGGTGTTGGAGTAAGGAAAGCAACTTCATTCAGAAAGCCAACAGACCAAGATGGCAGCCTGTCATCCTAAAGAACCAACTGGCCTCGCACAAATGCAGGCTTCTTTTATGTTGAGAGAAGGGAATGCAAGCTGGTGCAGCCACTCTGGAAAACAGTATGGAGTTTCCTCAAGACGTTAAAAATAGAGCTACCCTACCACCCAGCAATGGTACCACTGGGTATTTGCCCCAAAGACACAGATGTAGTGAAAAGAAGGGGCACCTGCCCCCCAATGTTCATAGCAGCAATGTCCACAATAGCCAAACGGTGGGAAGGAGCCGAGATGCCCTTCAACAGATGAATGGATAAAGAAGATGTGGTTCATATATTCAATGGAATATCACTCAGCCACCAGAAAGGATGAATACCTACCATTTACACTGACATGGATGGAACTGGAGGGGATAATGCTGAGCGAAATAAGTCAATCAGAGAAAGACAATTATCATATGGCTTCACTTATATGTGGAATATAAGGAATAGCATGGAAGACCACAGGAGAAGGGAGGGAAAACTGAATGGGAAGAAATCAGAGAGGGAAACAAAGCATGAGAGACTCTTAATCATAGGAAACAAACTGAGCGTTGCTGGAGGGGAGGTGGGGGGGATGGGGTAACCGGGTGATGGGCTTTAAGGAGGGCACGTGATGTGATGAGCACTGGGTGTTATATGCAACTGATGAAATCATTGAACACCAGATCTGAAACTAATGACGTACTATATGTTGGCTAATTGAATTTAAATTTAAAAAAAGAGAGAGAAAGAAGGGGAAGGGGAGGGAGCTGGAGTCCAAAGGTGACTGATGACCGTAGACATCCAGGAGCCAGAAAGGCTCTGGGAAGGACGGTGAAACTTCTTTGTCCTTGGTTGCCTGATCTGTGTGGATAGGAATCCCACAATGGTCCTATAAATCTTGGACATAGCAACTTCTGTACATACTTCGTATCTCCTTGGGGGAACTTGGGTCTCGGGTAGGGGCGGTTTGCCTGAGTCTCAGCTGTCAGCAAAATTCCTTCAGTGACTAGCGTGCCTACGTGCAGGGCTGAGCAGAAGTTTCCAAGCTACAGGTCACAGCTTCGAGGGAGGTGAGAGCAACATGGAGTCAGGCGCCCTGAGTTTCTCCTGTACAGTAATGTTTGCAGCGTGTTAGGATGTCAGAGTTGACCAATTTTTCTGGTAAATTTTATTTCAATTTCCTGCCACTGCCGATTTTCACTGTCTCAAGAATAAATCTGTGCAGGAACCCAACACCATCGAGCACATGGGATTTTTGTATCATTATTCACGCCGTAGGAGGATGCCTCGGCGGCTACCATCGTAAATGCTTTCTGAGCATTTCCACTACTTTTGGGTGCAGATAACATATGCGTATGTAAGCACATCATGCAACGTATGGGCTCTTCCTCATCTCTCGATGTTTCTCATCTATCTTATCTCCACTGGAAAAAAGCTAACGTCAATACCTCAATAAGACTGATGGGATGATGTCCAGTATGGTAGACTCACCAAGTTTCCCAAGCCCCAGAGGTGTTGTCAAAAAAAAAAAAATTAAGTAGGGGTGCCTGGGTGGCTCAGTCGGTTAAGCATCTGCCTTCGGCTCAGGTCGTGATCCCAGGGTCCTGGGATTGAGCCCCGCATCGGGCTCCCTGCTTGGTGGGAAGCCTGCTTCTCCCTCTCCCACTGCCCCTGTTTGTGTTCCCGCTCTTGCTGTGTATCTCTCTGTCAAATAAATAAATAAAATCTTTTTTAAAAATTAAGTAAAATCTCCTAGAGAAATGAAAGAAACACAAACCATAGCACAGTCCCCAGGCTTTCCTGCCCCCAGTGCCTGAGCTGTTTTCAAGTTTGGGAGCCTGGAATTGGATGCTCTGTTGGGATGAGGGGCCGGGGTGAAACACTCACAGCCCCCCACGTCCCTGGCTTCCAAGGCTCCAGCCAGTTTGTCTTTAGATTTTCAGAAGAAAAGATATAGGTGTTGTGTGGGGCACCCTGAGGCATCGACCAGAGCAAAGATAACAGGGTTGAGCACGCTGCCATGTTTGGTGGCTTTCAGTTCTCTGCTGCGCCTCGCAGAGGACAGAGAAGGTGGCTGCCCACCCAGGGAAGGCAGGAGGAAGGAGGGACTGTCGTGGGCGTCCCTCACCTGAGCCTGTAACCCGTCGGAACTGGTACCGCCCTGCTCCCCGCACTCCCTCCTCCACGTCCCTCCAAGGGCGAAGCTTGGAAAGTTCCCGAAAACAGGCAGAGGGATGTCACTGTACATAAGAGGGTGGTTATTCTAGAACCAGAATTAAGAATAACTCATGGATCAAGCACACTAAGTGTTGACAATCCCATGGCGCTAATCCCCACGGATGTGTCTGGTTTGCCACATCTGTCAAGTCCTGGTGCATGTTTGAGGCCTCCCCCTGCACGATCCCTCTTCCTTCTTCGGCCACGTTTTCTTTTTCTCCTACTGTCCCTCTAAAAGAAAAGTCCTGTAATCTCCAGAACTAAGCCGTTTCCAGACCACAAAATTGTGTATAGAGAAGAGTTGCCTGATGTCTGAATATTCACGTAGATACGTATCTGCTATGTGCGGCCATATATGTCCACTAGCTGAAGGGAAACCCCAAAAAAGATCCTGCAGAGGGACACCTGACCCTGGTATTTGGACTCTAAGAAAGACCTTAGAATAGCTCAGTTCTGCCAGGGGAAACCTAGTGTCATTTGCCCACACTCCCTGCTTCTCTGCCCTGACGCCGAAGGACCGTGAATGGAGGACGGAGGGGGAAGTGACATGAACTGACCTCAGCAGAGCCCCAAGGAGGGACAGCAGCATAGGCATTCGACACCTGCTGTTCCCCTCTGTAGCCCCTGGGGACACAGGCCTGTGTGCTGATCTAACTCTATGCCTCTGCTTGCAGACGATCACTCCAGGATCCTGCTGAAATCCGAGAACAGTCACAGCAACTCGGACTACATCAACGCCAGCCCCATCGTGAGTACCTCCTGCCGGGGCCCCCACCCGTCCTCGTCCACGAGCCCGCGTGGTCTCAGCCGGGCGATTGGTCTCGACCGGCTGGCTAGCCAACGAGGTAGTTTGTCCCAAACGGGCGGCTAGCCAACTAGGTAGTGAATCTCAACCAGGTGACCGGTCTCAACCGGGTGGTTAGCCTCAACTGGGTGACTAGCCAACTAGGTATTTTGTCTCAACCGGGTGACTAGCCAACTAGATAGTTCGTCTCAACCAGGTGACTGGTCTCCACTGGGTAACTAGCCAAGTAGGTAGGTAGTTTCAATCAGGCGACTAGTCTCAACCAAATGACTAGTGAACCAGGTAATTAGTATTAGCCAGGCAACTAGTCTCAGCCAGGTCATTAGTCTTACCCAGGTGACTCATCTCAACCAGCTGGCCTGGGCTGGGTCCTCACCAGGCAGGAGCAGTCCTGGTTCCACTGGCTTGAGGGGCCCAGCAAGAGCGGCCGCTGGTTTACTGACTGGAACCCGTAACTTTTAGGAAAATCTATGGTTGGTGGCATTCCTCCTTTCTAGACCCACTTGTTCCCTGTTTGTTCAGGGGATATGGAAACAATTGGACCCCAACCCTCCCCTTGTTAAAAAGTTGGAGGGCACCGAGGCAGACATGCGTGCAGGCTGGTCCCCGGGGGTGTTTCCAGGGCGGACCTTCCCCTCAAGACAAGCAGTGAGCCGTGAGCAGGGCTGTGCCTCCTGGGGCCGGGCTTCCTGAGAACAGAACCCCTGGGGGGACCCCCGTGACCCGCAGCCCACGGCTGGCATGAGCCCCATGGGAGAGCGGGCAGGAGGGGGAGTCGGAGCGCCGGAGGGTGACGAGTCAGAGGTCAGACTAAGCCATGCTCAGCCTGGCTTTTCCAGAATGAAGTTAGAATGAGCGTAAGTGGGAAGCAAGTGAAACGAGTGTCCAGGAATGAGAGTTTTAAGCAGCGAGGTTGGTGGCGGAGAGTGTGGGAGCCAGTGGGGATTCCTGCGGGAGGTTGGGTGTGGCCCCACCCCTCCCCATCCCCCTCCCCTCGTGCCTCAACGTTGGTCATCAGGGAAGCGTCAGGATATCTGACTAAAATCTCAGATTTGCATGCAGCGGAACAGTGCGTGTAGGATTCCAGCTCAGGGAGCTTGCCGGTGATCTGTGGTGGCCGCTGAGGCCGTGGGTCATCTCTGGATTCGGGACGCACCCAGCAGCGTCCTGACGACCCTTGCATTCCGGCTGCAGCAGGCTCCCTTGAGAAGGTTCACTGTCAGATTTCAAGCGGCAGGAGCTGCTGCTAGAACATTCTCGTGGCTGCTGGTTCTGTGTGTTTCCGGGGCACCTGGCATATCAAGCTTATTCTTGGGAGTGCAGCGTGCCATGGGCCCGAGCCCGTGTCCCGGCCCCCACGGTGCACAGTGGCCGCCTCACTGCGAGAAAGCGGGTTAAGAGCTGGTCGGCTGCTCCGTCTACACCCCAAGCCCAGACCTGGGCTCCCGCAGCTACTGTTAAGGGGTGGCCCCCTTCCCTCCAGCACAGGCAGACCTCAAGGACTGGCCCCACCTGTGTTCTCCAGGTTCTCCTCTGGGCCATTCTGTCTTTCTCAGTAAGTGCCCTGCTGGGCTTAGTGTTTTCTGTCAATTCTGGTTCAGAATCAAGCCAAAGCCTCATGGGTGTACAGCGTCCCCTTCTGTGGGTAGAGCATGGGTTCTGGTGGGGGGGCGCGGTAGGGGCCTGGACGTGCCCCCCGCGGTGGGCCCCGTTGCTGGCAGCTCAGATCTGCCTGGAGAGCCGTGTCCTCCTGCTGGGCTCCTTGTCCCGGGCATGAACCATGGGACAGGGCCGGGAAGAGAAGCAGAGCAGTTATTTTCAAGCCTAAAAGTGAGCGTCCACAGTTGGGGCGTGCCCAACTCCCCCTCATTTCATGGGTTCCAACTTCCCACTGTTGGTAGTCTCCGGGTGAGTGAAATGTCAGTGCAGAAGTCCATCCAGCGATGCTGGCGCTCCCACGGGGCCCGGAGGTGGGGCACCTGAGCTGCTCCCGCACCTCCCACCGTCTGGCCTTGCCTCCGTGACGGGAAACGCGGGACGGCGCCCCCTGCCCCAACCCCACTGGGCTGGGGCTCGGGTCAGGAGGCGATGCCAGGAGAGAGAGGGACTTAAGGCATCTTTTATGTTTCCCCTTCATTTCACGCCACAATTCTCCTTTTCTCATTTGGGTTGTCAGAATGAACCGTGGTACCTCTTCACCTCTTCTTTCTGAAATGACTGAAGGTACAGTGATAATGAGCTTCCTAGCAGCACTTGAACGAAAAACTAACAATTACAGCCCAAGAAGACCCTGGCTGTGCAGAATAAAACTATGATAATTACATCTGTCATATTTGTACTTAGTCCTCATTAAATTCCAGGGAAGTCATCCGGTAGTAAATAATGTGCAATCTTTGCTTTGAGAGCAGAGGTCATGAAAGTAAATGGGAATTCCGTGCTCCCGCCCAGCACGTGTGAGGGGCAGCCCGTGGGCTCCACCCAGGAGTGCAGCCCAGCTCTTCCCGGGGACGCAGGCTGAGGCATGTCGTTGGCACGCCTAACACATGGTGTGCTCAAAACAGCACACGCATGTCTTTACCAGGGACGGGTCCAAAATTCCCAGCGCTTGAAACTAAACTTATTCTTCATTCCACTGTTTCCTGAGGGGGAAGAAACTGTTGAACGTTTTAATTCAGAACGCATTTAACTAACGTGAGTGGTGCGCCTGGACTCCTCAGGAAATCGGGTGACCGGTCAGGTGTCCTGAACATCATAAGAAATTGGGCAAATATGGGAGCCAACTCTGGGGTTCTCAGAAAATATTTACAAGCAAGCATCTATGTGTGTATGTTATATTCCATAATTTACTTAAACCTTAATTCAGAAGAAGAAAATATGAAAATAGCTTCAGCTCCTAAGTCAGCCTGTCTCACATCAGTTACGGAAGCTACCGTTCTCAGTAAATTCCCGTATGAAGACTTCTAGAAAATTGACTTAAAAAGTCTGACTCGATATTCGCTTGTTTTTAAGAAAACGTTCTGTGATATTTGCTCTAAATGTTAGAAAAAAAAACAGATGCAGGGGCAGGCAGATAGGAATAGAGAAAGAAAACGTGCATGTTTACTCTCTGAGATTTCAGAGTGAGAGGCCTGGCCCCGCACCGCTCCCCGGGTCACGGTCAAGACCAGGCCGTCGGGCTGGACGGAGCTGGCTCTCCCTGCGGGACCGCAGCGGGCAGCCTGCCGGCCCCACCCTCGAGCTCGTCAAGGCTTCGGGACGTGGGTCCCTGGTCTTGGCACGCTGAATGCTTGAGTTTAAAAATCTGTTTGTTCGTAGTACTGGGGAAATTATTGCTGAGTTTTTAATGCACGTTAGAGTTTCTCCCACCCATTTAATGATGGGCATTGCCTGGCTTACAGCAGATGGCTAGGCTTGCTTTCGGAGCCTGTGCATTTAGAAACTCGATGGACACACCTTTCCCGTACCCTGCCAGCCACAGGCAGAGTGGATTCAACACAGTTTTCTGGGGGGAAAATGACCTAGTGAAAGCAAAATGGTAGTGGTAGTTGTACCTGGGACCCGGCGCCCCGTGACCCTCGCTTGCTACGCAGTCTCTGGGAGTAAGTCCTATTTGATGGTGGGGGCCCGTCTGCCTTACGCAGCGCACAAGGGAGAAGGCCTCCTGAGAGCATGGAGCGAACCCCCACGGGCTTTGATGGATAGCCTCAAGGTTACGGCCAACACACTCCCACGGCACGCACAGAGGAGTCCGCACGTATGCGCACGTGGAATCCCAGAGCTGAAGGGCACGTGGAGGTCATGTGGGCAGCCACCCCAATCTCAGACACTGACCGAGGCCCAGACCTGGGAGCTGACTTCCTCCACCGCCCCGGAGCCTGCGTTTGTGAACAAGTAAAGAGGCCTCCACAAAGAACAGGAGAGTGGCGAGCGGCGGGGCAGCGGCGGCTCAGATCACAGGGGGCTGCAGGCGCCATGCTCACGCCGTGCTCACGCCCTGGGCGGTAGAGGACGACACACGCCCACGTCCACCAGGGGCTGTGGGCCAGAGTTCCTGGTGGAAAAGTGCTGTTAGTAGAAACTTGATTGCCTCTGATTACACTTCTCCTGCACTGGAAATCTTAAATATAAAGCTTCTGTTCATTTAGTTAAATATTTGCTTTACTCTTTTTCGGCTAAAGATTGCACAAAACCGTGAGACACATGCAAAGCGCTTCTGCCCAGAATTATTTTCTGTCCAACAAAATGTGCACGGAATGAAATAATTCTAATTGTCTTTGAATTATTGTTAAACGGATGACACATTTTGCCACTCTGTGGTCATTATGCTATCTACTGCCTCCCAGGTGGCCGCCGCGTGGCCGCCATCGAGGGGGCTGGGCGAGCGGTGGGCCTTGTCCACACCCTCCCCGGCCTGGGCTGGAGGGGGCCACGGCGGACCACCAAGACCAACCGCAGTGGGTTGCCTTGTTTACCCTCCTGAAGCCCTGTTCAGGTTTTTACTTTTAATCACAGATTTCTCAGTTTAAAAGCCACTAAGTGTGCTAGTTTGAACACACTAACGATTTTTAAATTTGGTGCTCTCTAAATTGCTTTGGTCAAAAAACCACATTTGAAAAGGAGGCGGGGTTTTACTTTTTATGCAGAATTGTTTGCTAGAAAGAGACGGGGTTTTTGTAAATAGCTGTCACCTCCAACAAATGCATATTTTGAAAAATCAAAACTCCTTATTTCTGCTAAGCTTTTCTACTGAAACATTTTAATTGGGGCTTTTAGCGAGAGTAACGTAATTTTACCTGTATTGTGTGTGCTGTGGTGAATTTGAAAACGAGGTCCAGTTTTAATTGGGAATCACTAAATTGGAGGCAGAAAAAGCATTTTCCTGCCGCCCCCCACCCCAGCCGGCATTCCATTGTTGTTCTGTGGGAATGACTTACATCGGCTCTTCCGCGGTGCACGTAATTATAAGGTGCGTCACGCACCCTTTTATGCTGACGACCGTCATCTCTGCGAGGATCACTAAATCCGTGCTCTGGAGACCGTGCCTCCCGCAGGCTGTCCTTCAAACCCAGCGTGGGGCCGTGTGTTAGGGTGGCTCTAGGGTGGACAGCCGACATCCTCGTGTGCTGCCATAGAACCATGTGTGGCTGAAACCTCCTCCTTTCTCACTGTATTGGGAAATGTGTTCTTAACAAATATCTTTAAACAGAGCATTTTAAATGTTTTCTCAAACCCTGGTATCAGAAGAGTAATAGAGTCTAGTGCCAGATGGGAAAGATTCAGGGACTGAGCGTGTGTGACAGGTGAGCACCGAGGTGAGGCTCCAGCGCGAGGCCCTGTCCGTCCCCCTGGGGTGGTCTCCGTGGTCCCGCCCAGGGTGCGCGGCGGGCAGGGAAGTCCCGTGAGGGGAAAGGGCTGTCCATAGCATTTCCATCCAATTTCCTTCTCTAGGCTTTGTTCCCTGGGTCCCTTTCTCCCTTCTGTTTCCTGCTTAGATGTCTTTAAATTAAATGTCATAATGAAGGTATTTTAAGCCAGACCCCTCTGTTGAGGCCAGCAGGCTTGGACAAACCAACCAGGCAGAAAACCCCTAACTGCATTCTGCTGTTTGTCCGTCTTCAGCCCCTTGCCTGGCGCCATAGGACTAGAATTGGAAACAAGCTGCTGGAAGCCTGGGCCTGTCTCCCAGGGAGGGCCTGCACACCATGCTCGCAGACCCCTGGCATGATCCGGGGTGCCAGCGCCACTTCCTGGGTAACAGGAACAAGCCCCCATGTGAGAGGAGTTAACTCTTAGGGGAGGCAGGATGCACTTGTTCATTCATTCTTCCAGGAGCCTGAAGGGTGGCTCATGGGCCTGGCCCCCTGGTTTCACCTCTCCCAGCCCCACATCTGCAGTTCTCACAAAGTGCTTGTTGATTGGAACCCTGCACGTGGCCTATGGTGGGTGTGCAGGCAGCTCACACTGGCAGGTGGCCAGGGTCGAGGCTCATGGCTGGGGTGGAGGCCATGCATGCTGGCTGGTGGCCTGGGGAGGCCCGTGGCCTGGGGGGAGGCTCATGGCCTGGGGTGGAGGCCACGCATGCTGGCTGGTGGCCTGGGGGAGGCCCGTGGCCTGGGGGGAGGCTCATGGCTGGGGTGGAGGCCACACATGCTGGCAGGTGGCCTGGGGGAGGCCCGTGGCCTGGGGGGAGGCTCATGGCCTGGGGTGGAGGCCACGTATGCTGGCTGGTGGCCTGGGGGAGGCCTGTGGCCAGGGGGGAGGCTCATGGCCTGAGGTGGAGGCCACGCATGCTGGCTGGTGGCCTGGGGAAGGCCCGTGGCCAGGGTGGAGGCCACGCATGCTGGCAGGTGGCCTGGGGGGAGGCCCATGGCCAGGGTGGAGGCCATGCATGCTGGCTGGTGGCTTGGGGAGGCCCGTGGCCTGGGGGGAGGCTCATGGCCTGGGGTGGAGGCCACGCATGCTGGCTGGTGGCCTGGGGGAGGCCTGTGGCCAGGGTGGAGGCCACGCATGCTGGCTGGTGGCCTGGGGAGGCCCATGGCCTGGGGGGAGGCTCATGGCCTGGGGTGGAGGCCACGCATGCTGGCTGGTGGCCTGGGGGAGGCCCGTGGCCAGGGTGGAGGCCATGCAAGCTGGCCCGTGGCAGAACTGCTGGCATCCACGGGGACACCGCCATGTTGGCACCCCACCTTGTGCCCCCACCACCCTGTCTTCACCCAGCCTGTTTATTTCTTGGCATCTGGTCTCTGGGGTACGGGTCTCCACTGTGGCTCGTGCCGTCCCCGTTCCCGTGGTATCAGGTGTGAAGCATTGCAGCATCAGCCAGGCTCCAGGCACAGGGCCACAGGGGCTCTGCTGAAAGCCAAGCACTGTTGGAATCAGGAGGGACAGCAAGGAAGACCAGCCTGCTCCTCCCACTTGTGCGACCCCGTGTGTTCCTGTGGCTGGCGTTCAGTGCGGGATATGCTGCCTTCACCTCCTCCTTAGCCAGGGTTCTCTTTCCTGGTTGTTTCCTTGCTCTTTAGCTAATAATCTTTGTTACTATAATCTTGTCTCTGCAGATGGATCACGACCCCAGGAACCCTGCTTACATTGCCACCCAGGGACCGCTGCCTGCCACCGTGGCCGACTTCTGGCAGGTGAGTCTGCTTGAGTTAAAACTTTTTCTGAAAATGGGATCTTGATAAATTGATAGTGGGTGATGCCTTGGATTCGACTCAGTAAATGTGAACTTGTTTTTAGGTGTTGCTCGTCAAATGTTACTTGATTTCAGAATTTATACGGGTCCTTTGATGTTTTTTATTATCTTTTGTTTTTCAAAACTTGAGTATGAAAATTCCTTTCGAGAGATTAAATGCTTTAAAGACCCTTACTTTTTTAACCACCTTACAACTTTATTTCATGAAGTACAAAGAAATGAAATTAATAAGTCTTTATTACATTCTGTTCAAATGTGTCCTTATCTATTGTTCTCTCCCTATGAAAGTAAAAAATGGTGCTCAAATTATAGTTTCTCTTCCTTGTAGATCCTCTGTAATGCGTTTTAAGGGCCAGGCAAGTCTGCTTTGTCCAGCATAGCCCTGGACGCCCAGACAGAGGCTCAGCCGCTGAGAGCCAGTGTGAGCACAAGCCACAAAGGGCAGAACGGGAGAGAGAGGGGCCCCCCTCCTTCCCCCGCGTCCTCCTCAGTCCTCAGCTGTGCCACAGAGCTAAGTGGGAAGGGGCTTCGGAAGGTGGCACGGTCGCACGAACTCCCCCGTGCGTCAGGCACGCCACCGCCCCGGCCCTGGCAGGGGGACTTCCGACAGGCAGAGCCCACGGAGGACAGAGGTGAGAGAGCAACCAGCGCAGGGGCTCGCGGGTGGACGGAGCGCCTGTTAGGACGGCAAGCCACCCACCCCCAGCAGCGTGGCCATGCGTGCAGATGGGGCCACATGGGTCCCCTAGGCTGCTCTCCAGAGTGTCTGGAGGTCTGACGTTCATGGAACGGAAGAAGCCATCTTTAAAGGAAGCAACGTGAGAAAAATGACCAAGTGCAAGATCACAGCCCTGGTCACACTGCTCAGGACCCACTAGTGTCCCTCCAAATGGTGGCAGGTGTCCCGGGACAAGAAGGCTTTGCGGGCAACGGGCTAGCCCTCCTGGGATTACCGTACACAAAAACACGTCGAAGCCGCCGAGAAGCCTGTCGTAAAGAAAGTGCTTCAACTCTGTCTCCTCCAAACGCCCTTGAGCGAGACGCTGTGGTCTCGAGGAAGGCTGGGGGCACAACTTTCCATGGCTGCCATAACATACCAAAGCAGGACAGACATGCTGGAGGCTGGCGGCCTGAGGCCCAGGAGTGGGCAGGACTGGTTCTACTCGGGGGCTCCGCAAGAGAACCTGCTCGTGCCTGTGTCTCCGGCTTCTGGTCGTGGCCAGCACTGCTGGGGGTCCCCTGGCTCGTGGACGCCTCACTCCCGCTTCTGCTCCATCCACGTGGTGACCCCTCCATAGGGGTCAAATTTCACTCCTCTTAGAAGGTTGCCGGTCATTAGACTTGGGGTCCATTCTGGCCAGTGCGGCCTCCTCTTGAGCTCACCTGCAGAGGCCCTATTTCCAAAGAAGGTCACGTCCACAGGTCCCAGGTGTGTGTGACCTTTGGGAGACACTACTCCGCCCATTGCAGTGGCTGAGAAACGAGCATGGACTGAGACTGAATACTTTGCTGCTGAGACGTGGCCACTTCGGGAATCCAGAGAGAGGCCGCTGGGCGGTGGGGGCAGGGAGGTGGGGGACGGGAGGGGCTATGAAGGTCAGGGCAGGTCAGCGAGGGGGACGCAAGCCAGGCCTAGCGTGTCCAGAATGCGGAGGTCCCCAGTACTTCTCAATTACCTTGCAGGAGGGAGCTAACGCCTGGTCCTACAGCCTGTGACAGCCCACAGGCACCAAAAAGCTCTGGTCGTCGATGATGAGCCGTGTGGGGAGGGGAATGTCGGGACTGGAGGGTGGAGGAAAAGGAGAAGGTGATGAAGGTCAGCTGTCCACTGGTTTGACCCCTGAGCCTGGAATACATATTCTAATCTGGGAGGACGTCCGCATCTGTGTAACGGGGCCTGCGTGGCTACTTTGAGAGAAAGATGCACACGCACGTGTGCGAAGGGGGCGTTGAAGTCCAAGGGAACACAAGGAAAGGAGCAGGAGGGGAGGGAAATCCCGTTGAGCACTTACTGTATGCTAGAGCCTGGGCAGGCGCTTCAGGTGGCAACTTCAGTCAACGCCCCTAATGACCGAGGACGAGCCTGAGCCCCTGGGGTCCCCTCATACGTGGTCTGAGGGGAGTCAGATCCAGGGAGACAGTAGGTAGAGGGTAGGCGCCTGGAGGGCGGACTTGGTGTTTAACAGGGACAGTTTCAGTTTGGGAAGATGGAACGTTCTGGAGATGGATGGTGGCGTTGGTTACGCAGGACCGTGAGTCTACTTAATGCTACTTAACTCTGCACTTAAAAATGGCCAAGAAGGTGCATCTTATGTATATTTTACTACGATGAGAGAAGATCGTGGTCCCCGTTCTACCAGAAGGCTGATGCCCGGGGTACCCTGAATGACTTCCGGAATCCACACAGCCAGCTGGAGGCAGGGCACGTTTTAAACCCAGATCTCCAGAACTCAGATGCTTTTACTACCCCTGCTCCGTGAGAAGGAAGAAGGCATCGTGGTGGGGAGGCTCCTGGGAGCGTCCGTTCTCAGAAACGCAAGGCGAGCAGTCTTCTGTGGAGACTGTGGGCATTCCCAGAGTAGACCCATTGCTCCTGACGACGTAACCGTGTTGCACCAGCCGTCTCGAAGGAGCATCAGGACAGCTTTCGCGGAAAGAGACTTCTCTGTGGGATGGGATGGCGGGCGGCCTGGGGCAGCAGGAGGAAGGGGCCGTCCTGGGGACCTGGCCAGTCATTGCCATTCTTGCCACGGGTCCCTGCTCTTCCCACAGCGGTGGTGGAGCTCCTCCCGCTGACCCACCCCCCACCCGGCCCCAAGGATCCCAAGGGGTCCCTCCTCTCGTATTTTTAGAGGAAGCTGGCAGAACTGTGCGCTTTCCACAGTGGCCACTTTGATATGTCACCACCAGAAATTCAGGCGACCCGGCTGACCGAGCTCGGGTGCGTGAGGACTATTTACAGACGTGAGCTGCAGAGCCAAGCACGTGAAGCCTCTAGAAGCGGGTCACAGCAGCCCCTCCACCCCAGGAACTGGGACGTTCTCCATGGGACGCGGGCTGGTCACCGTCCCCGTTCGCCATGGGGTGGCTCAGCCAAGAGCACGCTGGCCCGTCTTGCTTGACAGATGAGCTCTTTCAGACGGAGCCAGAGGCCAGCGAGCAGGAACGGGGCGCGGAGTCCACAGTGCAGGGCAGAGGGCCCGCCCCAGGCAGCGGGGGTCCCGCTGGCGCCCAGCCAGCACCAACACAATGCTGTTACCAATGTTTTACCAAGAAAAAGCCCTCCCGTCGAGTTCCGTCTTCCACCTTCGGAAGGTATTCTGTTCTGAAGGCTTCTCTTTTCCACTCTCTTTTCCAAAAGTGATGGGCTGGGTTTAAATACTGTGTTTTTATCGATCCCAGTCCTTACTGTGGTCACGAAAAAACTCGGAGCCGGCTCCTGTGGGAGAGCCAAAGAAGGCCAGCGTTCTCCCTCCCTGGCACTTTCCGCCTGGGGTCGGGTGAGGGGGCAAGACGGGGGCCCAGGAGGAAGAGTCTGACAAAGGCTGAGTGAGCAGCGTGCACACAGCAGGTCCCCGAGGCCCGGACGTGGCCGAGGACCGAGTCCGCTGCGCATCTGCCCTGCTCTCAGGGCCCAAGCCCGCATCTGGCGGAGAGGAGAGGGAAGGTGGCGGCCCCCACCTCCACAGTCTGCTCCACCCACAGATGGACACCTTAGAGCCATTGATTAGATGCCCAGCATTAGCATTAGATGCCCAGCCAGCATCCAGAGAGGCCCCGGCCTGGCCTGCTCACGTGCAGGCAGCCCAGGGCCAGCCTGAGCCTCCCCAAGCTCCAGGGCCCCCCGGGGCCACATCGTCCCCCTTCCTCAGGAGACCACATCACACCAGGGCTCAGGTCAGAAATCTGACTTCTGGCCATCCTGAGAGGCCTGACTCCAAGAGCCTGAGCCTGTCCCCGAACCCCCGTTACCCTGTAATGCTGGTGACAAATTGTGCTTGGTCTTCACCCCGGGACACCCTCTGGTTCGTGCATGAAGGGGTCTTCTGTTTCTGGAGCATCAAGGAATTGTGGAAGGGGGACATTTACTCCAGAGCCCTGTTAGCTTACGGATTGGTTGGTTTTAAAGCACGTTGTTGGGCCAAATTAAAGGAAATACAAGAATTGAGGAGAGTTCATTTCTTAGGAAAAACTTCATTTGTTATTTCTGTTCATAAGTACTTCAGCCACTTGCCCTAGATTTTCCAGGACATTTTACTTCAGATATTTAGTCTCACTGGACTCCCTATACACGAGCTCATAAACCTTTAAAGAGAAGAAAACCTATCATGCCACCTCCCCTAAACGCGCGCTTGAAAGCCCTGATCTGCAGGGGTGCCCGTGATTCTGCCCGGGGAGTGCGCAGCAGAGAGCACACACGCCCTCTTGGCAACCTTCAGACTCCGGCCTGGGTGAGAGACATACATCCTGAGTGTCTTTTTCTCTTCTTTTTTTTGAAGATTTATTTATTTATTTGAGAGAGAGCGCGCTCAAGAGAGAGCAGGGGCAGGGGCAGAGGGAGAAGCAGTCTCCCCGCCGAGCAGGGAGCCCGATGCAGGGCTCCATCCCAGGACCCTGGGATCATGACCTGAGCCGAAGGCAGACGCTTAACGACTGAGCCACCCAGGCGCCCCTGAGTTTCTTTTCAACTGACGTCATGGATCGTAGCCAAAAACGTCCTGGCTATTCTGCTTTTAAGTGTGTTTCTGGTTCCCTTGTCCCCTCCCTCCGCTCCTCCCTCCTCCCTCCCTCCCCTCCTCCCTCCCTTCTTCCCCTTCTCCTCCCTCCCCTCCTCCCTCCCCTCCTTCCTTCCTCCCCTCCTCCCTCCGTCCTCCCTCCCTCCTCTCCGTCCTCTCTCCCTCCTCCCTCCCTTCCTCTGCTCCTCCCTCCTCCCTCCCTCCT